TGTACACTTTTCAATGGCTGAAAAAAATCAAAAGAATAATATTTTGTGAGACGTGAAAACTACAAGAACACGAAAGTTCATTGTTGATCATAAAGTAAAGTTTTACTGGAATATAGCCACGCCCATCTGCTTCCAGATTGACATGACTGCTTTCAGTCCACAACGAGAAACTGAGACAGACCACACGACCTGCAAAGCCTGACATATTTACTATCTGGCCTTCACAGAAAAAGTGTGCCAACTGCTGGCCTAGAGCCAAAGTAGGCTGCCATGACTTAGACAGTCAGGGTCTCCTCTGCCTTGGGCCCAACACCAGGCAAGACAGTGAGCTACTGCCTCTCAGCTCCAAACCCACAGATCTTAAATACTATCACCAGAAACCACAGAAAAGTCCAGGCCTGCAGAAAAGTAAGGATCAGCACGCACGGATACAAGGCACAGCATTTTCATCAGCCACCATTTCAAAGCGGGGTTTTGCTATGCTCTTACTTACACAAACTATTTAATATGGGAATAAAGGAGGAATTTAACCAGGTAGATATAATTTTACTTATTTAGGAATACCATAAATTCCTTAAAGTCTTATTCCCCTAAATAGCTTTTTGCAATTTTATTACCCCTCATGGGTTTTTAATGATCCATAAATTACTTCCCATTGTTCTCTATTAAACCTCCATTAAAACAAATGTTAAGCTGTTTGTATTACTACATTCCCTACCCTGGCTTTCTTTTCTTTTCTTTTCTTTTCTTTTTTTTTGGGTGGCTGGCCTGTACTGGGATCCAGACACTGGAGCTTGGTGTTTTAATACCACGCTCTGACCGACTGAGTTAGCTGGCCAGCCCATGTTCCGTATCTTGATGCCTTTTAAAATCACTCTGACAAAATCTAAGGAAATGCTTCGCCTCACAGCTTCTTATTTATATTAGTCAGTACTCTCTCAGGTATATTTTCTCCCTTGTTACCATGGCAGACAGAACACTTGGCTTTGAGCTGTTTTTATTGAGGGTTAAAATTTATTTAAGGACTATCTGAAGGCTTCTGATTTCAGTACTATGGTCGACCAGAATTGCTGAAGGGCCTCTCTTTACAAAATCACTGGATCCTGCACAAGAATAATTTTTATGCATTAGGGAATCACAGTGAGTACAGCAAGTAAGAAAAAAACTTTGATTAAAAGAATTTTTAACTAACAAAAGATAAGAGAACTCAAAGAAGACATGTAGAAGGCAAATAAACATATGAAAAGATGGTCATCATATGTCATCGGGGAAATGCAAATTAAAACAAGACATCATTATATACTTCTTAGAATGATTAAGACCCAGAACAGTGACAACTCCAAATGCTGGTGAGGACGTGGAGCAACAGGAACTCTCATTCATTGCTGGTAGAAACACAACATGGACAGCCACGTTTGGAAGACAGCTTGGCGGTTTCTTATAAAACTAAACCTGCTTTTACCATAAGATCTAGCAACCGTGTTCCATATTTACCCAAAGGAGTTGAAAACCTATGTCCACGCAAAAACCTGCACAGGAACCCTTATAGCAGCTTTACTCATAATTGCCAAATCTGGGAAGCAACCAAAATGTCCCTCACTAGGTGAATAAACAAACTGCAGTATACCCCATACAATGCAATATTATCCAGCACTAAAAAGAAATGAGCTATCAAGCCATGAAAAGATGTGGAGGAAACTTAAATGCGTATTACTAAGTGAAAGAAGCCAATCTGAAAAGGCTACGTACTATATGATTCTAACTATATGACATTATGGAAAAGGCAAAACTACGGAGACAGTAAAAAGATCAGTGGTTGCCAGGGATTAGGAGGAAGGCAGGGGTGAGCAGACAGAGCACAGAGGATATTTAGGGCAGTGGAACTATTCTGTATGATACTATAACAATGGATACGTGTCATCATACGTTGGTCCAAACCCATAAAATGTGCACACCATCAGCAAACCCTAACGTCAACTATGCATTGGGGGATAATGATGTGTCAAGGTCGGTTCGTTAATTGTAACAAATGAAACCTCTGGTGGGGAATGTTGAAGGGGGGAGGCTGTGTGTATTAGTCTGTTTTGTGTTGCTTATAACAAAACACATGGAACTAGATAATTATAAGGAAAAATGAAATTTATTGCTTACGGTTTCTGAGGCTGGGAAGTCCAGAGTCCATCTGGTGGCGACAGTGACCCAGGGGTCTCACACTGCAAGATGGTGGAAGCAGAGAGAGCAGAAAGACAGGCTCTCTTCTTTTAAAGCCCTCAGAACCACGCATCCATGACCCTTCCACCCAAATTAAGATCTAGAACATTATCAGCAGCTGTGTGCACCTTTTGGCTCTCATCCCCTGCCTTCCCACCACAGGTAGAAAATATTCCGTGTTTCATATTTGCCATTTCCTTGCCTTAAAGGATACTTTTATCATCTATCTCCCTCCCCAAACAATATATTATGTAGTCTTCTTGTTTTTGTGCTTTATAAGAATATTTCTGAGATTCATTCAGATTACTGCTTATCGCTGTAGTACATCTATTTTCACTGCTATATCATATTCTGTTGTGTGAGTTTGCTATAAATTATTTATCTATTATCCTCTTGATGAATATTATAGCTTTTTCAGTTTGGGGCTAGTGTTAACAATGCTGCTGTTGATATTCTTGCATATGTCTCCAGTACATAAGTGCAAGAGTTTCTACAGGGTGTATACCTAGAGTGAGACTGCCAGGTCTCTTTTCCTTAAAGGGGTTTTGATTGCATGGACAGACCATCTCATTTAGCCCTCCTATCTTCTAACCTTTCATATTTTCTGTCTCTCTGTGTTTTCAGAATACATTCTGGATACATTCTTTAGATCTTTCTTCCAGTTCATCAATTCTCATTTTAGCTGTGTCTAATCTGCTGTTTAAGCCATTTACTGAGTTTATTTCAGTAATTTAATTTGTCATTTTAAAAGTTCGGTTTTCATCTTTTCCAGATATACCTGTTCATTTTCATAGTCTCTCGTCTTTTTCTTATTTTTTGTGGTTCCGTTTTGCAAAACTTTGAATATTTAAATATGCAATTATTTTGCATCATAAATCTAATAATTCCAATACCTGATGTTGTCTTAGATCAGATTCATCAGAAGCAGATTCTGAGATGAGGATTGAGGATTCCTGGTCAAGTGGTTTGTTAAGGAAGTGCCCTCAGGAGAAACCAGTAAGGGTGTAGGAGAGAGAGGATAAAGAAGAAGAAACCAACTAAGGGTATGATTTCAGGAGAAGTTCCAGGCTCAACAACATTCCATGGGAGTTCTGGAGCATAGAGTACACTACAAAGCTTGTCACTTTGCTGAGCTGAGCTTTCGTGCTCCTGCATCAGTCATCAACTATGGGCCTTCCTAGGTGGATATAAACTCCCAGGCATTTCTAGTTCTCTGGTCTGGGGCCAGGGTAGTGAGTGCTCTTAGGTAGGCTGTAGGTGTGAGCCTTCAGCAACAAAGAGGTCTAAAGCTGAGGGATGGGCACCCCATGCTGGTGAAGGGGATTCAGAAGGATCTGGGTGAGCCACCAACGGACTTCACTGTAGACTTCACCACTATAGTGGGGGGCTTTAAATTAAAAAAAAAATTTTTTTTTTCTGACTCACTTATTCATACTTTCATTCATTTAAAAATGCTAGTTGAGCACCTACTATGTTTTGGGCATGTTTTAGCACTGGGGATTAAGCAGTAAACACAACAGACTAAGATCTCTGACCTCGAGGAACTCATATTCTATGGGGGAGGGAAAGGTAGAGAAGTATATAATACAAAATGAATCACTAAAATATTGGGAATATTAGAGTAGGGGTTGGCAAACCACCTGGCCAGATCCAGACTGTGGTCTGTTTTGTGTAGTCTATTTAACTCCTAGGTTTTCAGTTTTTTGAGAGCAGTTTTAGGTTCACAGCAAAATTAAGGGGAAGGTGCAGAGATTTCCCAAATACTCCTTGCCCCAACATATACACAGGGTAGTGGATTGAATTACGTCCCCCCAAAACTCATTGAAGCTTGAATTGTGTCCCCCAGGTTTTATATATTAGAAACTTGGCTCCCACTGTGACTGTTAAGACGGTGGGAAATCCTGTTATGGATTCAAGGTGGAGCCTTGAAGAGGTGATTGGATTGTAGGACCGTGCAGTGGTGAATGGATTAAAATGGTGGTCAGGGGCATATGTCATTATGATTCTCCCTAAACTGACATAAATGATCCATTCTTTTGCACATATCAAATATTATATTAAAAGTAATATTTGCAGAATCTCTGTAAAGCAAATAGCATAGATGAATGCTGAAGATGCTTCACATGCCTTTGAAGTCAGACAGACCAGGACTGGAATCTTTCGTCTTACTATGTCATTGAGCAGGTTGCTGATCATTCATAGACCTAAATTTCCTCGTCCACTCTCATGCCTTTAGTACAGTTGTCACAGCTATTAACACCCACATAAGTAACTCCAGTTTTGTCTCCTCATGTGAGTGCTAAACCTCTAACTAAACTTCAGGATGTTTTAATTTGGGTCCTGTCATCATCAGATCAATAGGTCAAAACAAACCTTGGGACCTCTGTTGCTAAAAGGTAAATGCCAATACAGCTCTGGCTGTCACATGCTGGGAGCAGGCTCATCCTGCGCAGAGAGAACAGAGACCCCAGCCCTCCTGCCCGCATGACACAGCAAGAGAAGCTACAGACTCATCTGGGCTTACAGCCTGAGACCCACATTCACCTCCTCTGCTCCCACCACTCATCCTCTCAATCCAAAGAGTCCTTTCCTCACATTGCAATGCCCTCCTCCACTCTTAATTTATGTTCCAACCACCTTCGGCCTGCCCTTTCCCAGCTCAGATGCAACAGCCATCAAATGAAAAAGTGAAATCACAAATATTCACAGCCTTAACGATATGATAAACAAGACTAACCGAGAGGACCAGAGGCACTTCAGTTCCTCCCAGAAGGTGCCAGCTGACCTACCTGATATTTTCCAGGGCATTTGTTATCTGCTCTTGCTCAATATCATAGAGTTTCACCTTGAAGCCTCCACTGGCAAACAACATAGCCCAGCTTCGCCCAATGAGTCCACTAAAGGGAAAGAAAATAAGAAAATATTCATGTTAACTTAATAATTGAACAGCTTTTCATTCCTAACCAAGAATGAATTTTTAAAATTTATACAGCATCCTATTCTTAAAGCATTCAATAAATATATTAAAAGTACACATTTTGATAACCGTGCTTATTAAAATGTTACCTGTTTCCAACTAGGAGTTTCTGAGCCCTCACCTCCAGTGCCAGCATTAGTATTCCATGTGAAGCACTGCAGTATGTTGGGGACCTATCACATGCCCACATGCCGAACAAAAAATGACAGTCGGTAGGTGGCAGGCTGTCATGGGCCAAGGCCCCTAGGTGAACCCCTCCTTCGCCACTGCCTTAGGCAAGCCACTTACCTTGAAGAACAGAGATAACATTTGCCCTGTCCTCCTCAAATAATTACTGCCACTACCACCCCACCTCCCCAGCGTATGAGCATGGAGTAGGTGCCAGGCACCACGGAATATTTTATAGGTCTTACCTCTGTTAATCTTTACAACTAAACAAGGTAGGTGCTATTATTATTTCCATTTTATACATGAGGAAACTGAGGCATGGGGGGATTAAGTCCACACAGGCTACAAGTGCTGGAGCTATGAGAGCACCCCACGAACATACTAAAAACCATGTGAACATGCTAAAGAGCACTAAGTTGTACACTTTAAATGGGTGAATTATATCTCAATAACCTATTATTTCAAAATGAATGTATGTGAACACACTTTGAAAACCACCTCCTGCCACACAAATGTAAAATAGTAATAGTAAAATTTGGTTGAGTAGAAAAGCAAAGAAGGAAAAGTCGCATTTGGTGTAACGTATGGGGTTGCCTTTAAGTATGGATGCAAAGAACAGGTACCTATATTCAGCATCTTACATTTAAAAATGAACATTAACATTTTTAGCCTTAAAAAGGGAGGACACATGCCACACATGGATGAACCTTGAGGACATTATGCTAAGTGAAATAAGCCAGTCACGATAGGCCAAATACCGTGTGCTTACACTTACACGCGCTCCCTCGAGCACTCAAGTTCATAGGGACAGAAAGCAGAACGTTGGCTGCCAGGGGCTGGCGGAGGTGGGAACGGGGAGTTGTTGTTTACTGGGTGCAGAGTTTCAATTTCGCAAAATGCACAAGTTCTGGAGACTGGTTGCACAACAACGTGAATGGACCTAACACTACTGAACTGTAAACATAAAGACTGTTAAGACGGCAAATTTTGTTACATGTATTTTACCACAGTTAAAAGTTCAAAACAAAATTCGTTTTTAAACGAACAATAATTTATCCTGCAAAAGTCTGAATCTGAGTTTGAGCAAGGCTTGCCTTCCCACCAGAGGGCAACGGGGCACTTTCTCACCGGCCTAGGAAAAAACATATATTTTTAAGCATTTTTCCAATCTCAGCTCCGGTGCCCCCCGCCCCGGCCTCACCACCTCTGTTCTCCTGGGGATTGGGTCTCAAAAGGTAATGTTGGTCCACCCAGGTCTGTCTTCTCAGGACAGTCTCCCTGGGACCAGCCGCGGAGGAAGCCCGGCCCGGCCCGTCCTGCAGGCGCGCGGGGCTGGGGAGGAGGAGGACGCGCGGGGACCACTCGGAGCCCCAGGTGCAGGGACGCTCAGCCCTGCTCCCGCTTGTCTGCTGCGTGTCAGCCAACTATGCTATGACCAATGTCGGCCTAAAATGGCGGCAGGGGGACAGGAAGAACAGCCAAGGTGGCTGCCGACAGTTCCACATTGCCGAGAACCACAAAAGGCCCCCCTCCCGCTTCTCCCTCGCCCCACGTCACCTCCCGCGCGCCACGCTCCCCCCATAGGAAAGTCCCGCTCGGTCCTGTCGTCCAGTGACAATGACTCAGCGCAACCTTCTGGGATACGCAGGGCGCTCCGCAGCTGCGCACGCGGCGCCCGGCTTTGAGATGGCGGCCCCAGGCGTGGGCCCTGCAGCCGCCAGCACGTGCCAGCGGAGCGTCTGTCTGTCCTGTGACTGCCGTGACTCCGGCCCAGCCCTTTCATTGTGAACTGTGAGATCCACCCTAATGGCACCGGGGTGTGCGCATGGAACACGGCCGCACTGTGCACACCCGAGCTTAAAAAGCGATGCTTCGGGCGTGGGTCTGCCCTGTGCTCTTCCACGGACTAGCGGCCGCCCTCGCGCCCCCGCACGGCCGGCTCTGACCACGAACGAGCTGCCTGACCTGGGGGCGAACGCCCGGGGCGGCCGCGAAGCCGCCGAGATTCCTGAGGAAATACTGAGCGCGCGCCTACCGCGACCTCCCCGGAACCGTCCCCCGGGAAGGGGACGTTTAGGCAAAGAGCCAAAGAGGGAGCAGCCGAGGGCGCGGAAGAGAGAGGCCCAGGGCGAGGCGCTGTCGCTGTCGCTGCCGCCCCAGCCGCGGGGACTCGGGAGGGTTCACACCGCAGGCGCGACCTGCCTTCAGCTTTACAAGGAACGTTCTAGTGGCTTTCTCGAGGACACACTGTAACTGGCCGGCTGTCAGCTGGTTAGAGCACGGTGCTGACACCACCGAGGTCCCGGGTTCATCCCTGTGCCGGCCGGGCCACCAAAAACACACGGCACGTACTGAAGACGGAGGAGGTCGGAAGCAGAGCAGTTAGGAGACGGGAGGCGCCTCCAGCACGCGATGGCAGGACGGACCCGGGTGGCAGCTGAGGTCGGAATGGGCGGTATCTTCAAGCTGCGGCCAACAAGAAGTGTTGGTGGGTTGCTGGGGGTGAGAAAAAGAATCGAGGACCGTGCCAAGTCTCTGTTGGACAGGAAGGACGGATGGAGATGTCACTAACTCCAAAGGGCAAGACCAGCAATGGAGCAGATTTCAGGAGAGAAGATCAGGAGTTCCATAGAGGACGTTTTAAGAATGAGATACCTAAGGGGTGGGTCCACAAACAACTGAAGGTAAGTTCAAGTCCAAGGTCTCGGCTGGGATATTAATTTGGGAGCTGCTGCATTGACATGGTACTTAAAAGCAGGAGACTGGGTAAGATCTCCAAGGAAGAGAAAGTTGATAAATTTTTTTTTTTTTTTTTTTTTTTTTTGTCTTTTGTCTTTTTCCGTGTCCGGCAACGGATAGCAACCCTCAGTGTCGCGCCCGTACCGGACCGGGGACCGGCAACGGGACTGCAAACCTCGGTGTTGCTCCCGCGCCTCGCTCAGCCAGTGAGCGGGAACCGGTCTGCATGTGGGATCCGAACCCTCAGGCGGGAGCGCTGCCGCGCTTCCCAAGCGGCGCACTATCCAGTGCGCCACCGGGCCGGCCCGAGTTGATAAAATTTTTAGAGTCAAAGGATTGAGCCTTGGAACACTCAACTTTAATGGGGAAGGACATGGAGAAGAAACGGCAACCCTCAGTGTTGCCCCCGCACCGGGCCGGGGACCGGCAACGGGATTGCAACCCTCAGCGTCGCCCCCATGCCTCGCTCAGCCAGTGAGCGGGAACCGGTCTGCATGTGGGATCCGAACCCTCAGGCGGGAGCGCTGCCGCGCTTCCCAAGCGGCGCACTATCCAGTGCGCCACCGGGCCGGCCCGAGTTGATAAAATTTTTAGAGTCAAAGGATTGAGCCTTGGAACACTCAACTTTAATGGGGAAGGACATGGAGAAGAAACGGAGCTGCTAGTGAGATGGGAGGAAAACCAGATGGGGGGGCAGGGAAGTGATGAGGGAGGGGGCTCAAGGAGAAGGGAGCAGCCATCAGGGTCCAAAGCCTGGAAAGAAAAGTGACCATTGGGTTTAGCGAGGTGAGTGGGGCTGGGGACTGTGATGAGAGCAGTTTTGGTGGGTTGGTGGGGACCAAAGCCTGCCTACGTGGTGATGGAGTTTGGATGTGTTGTCCCCTCCAAAACTCATGTGGAAATCTGATCCCCAATGTGGCAGTGCTGGAAACTGATTGAGTCATGGGGGCGGATCCCTCATGAATGGATTAATGCTCTCCCAGGGGGAGGGGGGATTAATGAGTGAGTTCTCACTCTATTAGTTCCAATGAGAGCTCGTTGCTTAAAAAGACCCTGGCACCTTCTCTCTCTCTGTCTTGCTTCCTCTCACCATGTGATCCGCTTGTACCCGCTGGCTGCCTGCCACTTTCCACCATGAGTAGAAGCAGCCTGAGGCCCATGCCAGACTCAGCTGTCCCAGAATCATAAGCCAAATAAACCTCTCTTCTTTATAAATTACCCAGTCTCAGGTATTTCTGTTATAGCAACACAAAAGGGACTAAAACTGAAAATTGGTACCGAGTGGGGTGTTGCTATACAGAGACCTGAAAATGTGGATGCAGCTTTGGAACTGGGTAATGGGCAAAGGTTGGAGGAGTTTGGAGGACTTAGAAGAAGAGAAAAAGACAAGGGAAAGTTTGGAATGTCTTAGAGACTTATGTGGTGCTGAGCAGAATGCTGATAAGAAATGTGGACAGTAAAGGCCATGTGGATGATGAGGTCTCAAATAGAAATGAGGGACTTATTGGAAATTGGACAAATGATAACCCTTACTACACCATAGCAAGGAACCTGGCTGCATTGTGTCCATGCCTTAGACTTTGTGGAAGTTGGAACTCAGGAGCTGTGAACCAGAGCACTTGACCAAAGAAATTTCTAAGCAGCAAAGCATTAAGGAAGCTGCATGTTGCTTTTAAGAGCCTACTCAGAGTTATGGCGGCAAAATCATGATGTAAAGCCAGAACTTAAAAGGGATGCAGAGAGTAAAGTTTTGGAATATTTGCAGCCTGGCCATACGGTAAAGAAGCAGAGAGCTGGGAGAACAATGCGATGGTGAAGCTGATAAACTAGTTGCTAAAAACATTATCTTGGCAGTGAGGCAACCAGATGCTAAGAACCAGGACAATGGAAAAAATGTCCTAAAGGCATTTGAGAAGTCGGGAAGGGTGCCCCACCCACCACAGGACCTGAGGCCTAGAAGGACTGAGTTGTCCCAGAGGACAGACCTGGGGCGCTGCTGCTCTCAGGAA